AGGAAATGTCGGCGGGCTTTTACGCGCTGCAATCGACATGCATTATTACTAACTCTTATCAGAGATTTCATCGAGAGTTCAACGGAACGTTACAACTCATAGTATGGAATTTAAGATTATCATTCTCCAATGAGAATTTCACTGAAAGTCTTAAGCTGTGTAAAAGCAAACTCACGTATATGCGTCACATAATAATTTTATATATACGACTTTCTTATGAAGAGAACAACGATACCCATCTGCATGTAAAAGTAAAAAAAAAAAAACAAGTTTAAAGTACTTCAATGAGAGTTAATTTAGCGTACTTCATCTCAATCGTGATTTATCGTATCCTAGTCGTATCATCAGACGTTTTATCATTCCTCCGCATCAGCCGTCGTTGTTGCGATTTAATTACGATAACACAGCATTGTGCGCGCCGCAACGGTGTATTCGTGATGGAAAAAAAGAGAATCTACACATTGGGAATGCGCTGAATGCAACCCTAATCGCAGAAGGGGCATCGCGTTCCAAATCGCTGCGTGTCGTACACACGTCGTTGAATGATTAATTGGGACTAGGCGTGTGTGTAGAAGCGAGATCTCTCGCGCTGGGAGAGAATATACACTCGCAAGCTACGCCGCGGCGAACCGATTCGCGGAGGCACAAATGTGCTTTTTACCTGAACGATCGGCACCTTCGCTAATGAATAATTAATAGTTTGACGCTGGCGGCCAGTCAGCGATGCGAACGGCTTTATCCGCCCGGCTGGATCGCGCGCCCGCTACAAAAACGTTAAAATTCTTGTATACCGGTGATCTCGGGACGTGTGACTTAAAGCTTCCTATTATTTCGCAGTGTCGCTTGGAATAATGAATACCGAGTCACCTTCACGCCCTTATCGATATCCACTTTTGCGACATGATAATTTTATCGCAACGATGACATGGAATATAATTTTCTTCGTATGTCTGTTTCACGAAACCGCGTCTCTCGTGAGGCAATAATTTACCGGGACCCAGTAACGCAAACAGCGGATCGATTGCTATTATCTAATTTTCCAGTATTGCCTGCAATTCGGACGTCCATTAAAGCATCTGATCAATTCACAAACTTCCGTTTTCGTTGTACGATTGTAATCGCGGTATCAGTATTCAACGCGTAAATGACATAATTGAATCTTGTGTTGCATCGTGTTTTTCCCCCGAATTGAATTGTTCCATAAAATTTCTATCATTAGGATTTCTGTTATTATTATAGGCTAATTGAATGGTAGAGAGGATACGCTACGAAAAGACATGAATCTTGATTTGATATCGTGATTTCGTCGCTATTGTCGCTAACGGTGAAAGTTGCAACAAGAGGGAAAGGCTCGTGAAGAAAAAAAGGTTCTCTAATATGCACACTTTCTACACGCTAAATCTAGAATGCATCTTTGCAAATCGGCGAACGTCCCGCCGCCGGATGCGGGGATATTTACGCGGTCATGTTACGTTCCGCGAGATAGACGGGATTAATTGTTCCGACCGGATATATTCCGGGTATTTATTGGACGATATTCAGGCCAACCATGGCCATTATCGGAACGTCGCGATCTAAGCCGCGGCGTGTCGTCTTAGTTTCACTTAAATTGCTTCGCGCGTCGTTGCATCCTCCGCGCGGAGGACACGGCATTGTACGAACGTGTGTACGAAATGCAACCCGCGGTTTAGTATCCGAAAGAGAGAGAGAGAGAGAGAGATCCTACTGTCTGAGAGTTGAATATAAATCAACTGACTTGGAAGTCGTAAAACTAGATATTACACACGTGCGTGTCCGGACACAAATAAAAATATTTTATCTATCCGATTATATCACGGATGTGCGAAATAAAATTTCTGTTCGGTTACGGTTAGAGTTCGATAAGACCAAGCCTAGTTAGGTGTTCCGGTTTCGGTTTCGATTTCTTGATTAAAGAAAAAAACCGGAACCGTTTAGGTTACGGTACTCCCCAATTACAGTTATGATACTTTTAGCTCCTTTTTTCCTGGCGTTTTCGTCTTTCAATCTATAACGTAAATCAATACTACTCTTTTCTTTCTACTCCTACTTCTACCTAATACTCGCTAATGCTGCTCTTCAGTGCGATTCTTAATTTCTTAATTATGTATTAATTTTTATGATAATTACAGAATTTTTACTACACTTAATTAGCGAATGGAAAGACGTTGTAATTATCGAATTTGCACTAGTTGATTTTATCGAGAGTATTACGTTATCTACATAACACGTATAGAAAATGTTTCATTACATAAAACGGAAATGCGTTGTGCAATTTTCCTATAAGAGCAGAAGTATATAATTAAGGAACGGAAAGGATCGAGCGTTGCTCACATTCTATTCATTTTTACCCTCTTTGGCGCTTTCATTATGTGATTATGACATTAAGGAGGCAAAACCCCAGAAAATTGCGACACAGACAGACGTTTCATTCGCAGTGCAATCCTGTGTGAAACAGATAAGCGTGTTACGATAATATTAAATGCGTTATCATCAATCATATGGGAAGAGTCTCACGGGAACAATTCAGCGCACAGCTATCTTACCCTCCTTCATGTAATAAATTAGTAACACGAACGCGCGTCATTTGTCCATCCCTTGAATTATAAAATTAACCTTCGTTCAATTTATTAATTTGTGTGCAATCTGACAGACTGCATGCATTTGTATTGTAGTTGAATGCGTCTTACGAACACTTGGCGTGCATTTTTACCTTTGTAAGGCTTCTTTTGTGAGATTAGATTACTATATAAGATCTGTTCGTTCTTGTTAAGTTAAGAACGCAAGACGGGAGTTTAAGAGCACCTTGTATTCAAAATCCAACTGCACTGCTACCGTTACAACGATTTCTCATCCTTTTTCTGCAGTTCCTTATGTTTCTGTGCTCTTTCCGGATGTTGATTTGAAGACTTGCAAAATTCCGTATCTCCATGACTGGAGATACGGAATTTTGCAAGCCATCGACGACAGGTGCAAAAATATACGTCGTTTACCTTCGCCAAATGTTACTATAATGTCCGGCAAATGCTTTTTTTTTTTGGTCGCATCTATTACATTATTGCCAAGTTGAAACTCACGGCTGAGAGAGTAGTCAACAAGAATTAAACTGCCATTAAAGTCGTCTAATCAAGTATCTATCTACCTGATCTCTGAAACGAAATCGACTTTGCTTCTTTCGTCTCGGCAACAAAACTATCACGAGGGTAATCGAGACTCGAGACAAGTGGCTGACCGTAGTAGCCACTTCCGTCTATTCCTTGATTGGCCTTCCTATCGAGAGGGGATCTCGGACTGCCGATCGATTTCGATGCGCCGATCGCCGACGACGACGACGCGTTCGGCCATCGATGTCAATGAACCTTTTTACCTTCGATTGAAAGGCGCAAGGTGCCGTCGTCGTGGCACGAGAAGGCGAGGTGAGCAGCGCGCGACCGAGAGAGGTGCCTGGAGAGGTGAACAGAGCGCAATCGTAATTTCATACCCGTCACGTTCACGATTGGTCAAACGGCTCGATACCGGCCTCGAGAATGTCAACCGCTCGCCACGCGAGTACCGTTCGCCTCGACTCGGATTTACTGTGGAACTCGTCTGCGGGGCCTTTTTTATCCGGTGCGGATCGCCGCGCTGGCTGAGCCACCCTTTCGCGAGAAGGAGAGCGCTGAGATCACCTGACTAGTCGAGAGCAGGGTCATGGATACAGCCTCTCAATTGTCCATCCGCTCGCTCGCTCGGGCAACGTAGTACATACGTGTTAAAGAATTTATCCTGAGCCGGAACAGCGCGCGCTGTTTTCTCTATTTTTCAATTGTTTACAAATATTCTACTTCAATTTGTAATTGGTCGTATAATATATCGTGAATTTTTTTTAACTTAAAATTTTTCTTATAATTCTTATATAATTTTCTTAAATTTATAGAAGAATAAAATTTACCTTCCTAAAAGTAAAATTTCCTCGTCGTGGGAATACAATATGTAAACTTTAAAAGAATAATCATGCGCGAGAAAGAGAACATTCGCATTATGCGAGATTAATTTGTTGGGGAAATGAGATTATTTACGGTACGACAGGGCAAACTGGAAAAGTTGCAGTAAATTTTCGCTACCCCCGACACAAATGGCTATTTCGCGTATCTTCAGCATCGTGCGAATTTAACAGGTTCCTTCCGGAACCAGGAACCTTACTCGTTTAATAGGGCCGAGGTGCGAAACCGTAAAGTACCTTACCTTTTCAGAGTACCGTTTGAGTGCGAAATTATTTCATCTGCGTCTCGATCAAGTGCACGAGATCTTTCTCACGCGAGCATGGCAGGGCTAATTACGGGCCCTAATGACGATATAATTATACATATGTTTTTTTTTACGTAGCCGGAATGAGGAAGTGACCATTACAATTTAGCATGCTTTTCTTTTTCATCCGCTGCAACAATCACTCATGCGCGGCTCTCTGCAGTCCAGCCCTTTTATTTCTCAACGCGCCGGCCGACACGGCCGCGGTCTTATTATATGTATACGTAATTCGGTCTTTCGCGAACAGCCGCGTTGATGCGATATCACGAAAAAAGTTCATCAACCTAATACGGGAGTATTATATACCGCGAGTCCCTCGAGCATGGCGAATATTCCTTATACGACCGTAGGTCTAATAGTCTTCACTTCAGTGGTTTACCGTTTTAATATTCGCGTAAAGTACGAGCATGCATTACATTTGGGTTTATCGCCCTCACGTATAAGATCTGCAATATAATCGAGCATAAAGCTCGATTTCCTGTAACGTCCTATTATCGAGAGTGGAAAATCCTAGCTTGAAATTCGATTATTATCAATTTAAAAAATGCTATGTTACATATTAATTAATGTATAATTGTTTTAAAAAAGGGAAGAGAATACAATATATTTTATGATACTTTATTCCTTTTTTCTCGTATTCTGAAAAACGTTGATGCAGTAACGAGGAATTAACATTAGTCTTTGTTCACTTTTAGGAGTGCTGGCCATACAGAACGATAGAACATCTTCTCGAATGTCCCGCGAAAATATCGTGTTGAGTGCTAGCGCTTACACCGGTCCCGAAAAAACGTCCAGTGGAAGTCAACTGGACGAGTCCCGAACCTTCCAGAGAACCGTCCCAGCGTTCCAGTTGGAAAGCTCGAAGAGCATTAACGATTACGACAGGGAGGAGACCAGGATTGTGTTCAAAGATACGAGCCGCGACGAGTCTATCGACGAACTAACGTCGTCGAAGCACGTGGCCCATATCGACGGCAATAACATCGAGGCGAAAGCCGGCGAGTACTACCAGTAAGCCTCATTTCGTTTCTATGAATACTGATAAAAGGGCGAATTGCACGCGAAGGGTTCTAAACGTAAAATGAGTTCTCCGTATTCGACGATAGTTTAACTACATTCCGCTGCATTAGACGTCGACATTTATCAAAGCTTCAATTACATGAATTCGGAGTTTCAAAGCTCCGTGTTTCTGTTCTATAGATACGATCCGCGCCGAATTAAAGCAATGTACTGAATATCATATTAACAATAGTCCGCGTGAATTTCGATTAGTTCGTTTTAATTCTACATTATAGTTTCAAATATGACCGAGGACGAATCTTCTAAAATAATTCGTTATCACGAAGTAGCATAGTGCCCACCACCAGCGAGTCGATGTCGGGGGAAGGACAAGGGGCTCCGCTGAGAGTAGATCTCCTGTCGGAGCCCCATCAGCTGGTTGGCGCGCCGAGGCAACGAGCACAGCATTCACCAGTAACGGATCAGCAGCGGCGAGGTCGTCAAGAGAACCCGAGGATCTATAGCGAGCACGCGCCGCCACCGATCCTGCAGACCGCCGCACCAGGTAGACAAGCGAATCCCGATATCCAGGACATTATCACCGGTATCGTCAAGTTGCTAAATGGCAACGTGAATGTAGCCGCAAACACCGTCAGGCCGTTGAGGCCGATACAAGCCACGAGGTAAATTAAAGAAATTTTAATTACACCAATATTATATATTGTAGTTTACACTACAAAATATTATAATAATCTAATTAGTTTTTTTAACATCAGAATTGTTATTTTCGAAAATGTTATGTTGTGAGAAGTGCCTTTAAAAAGTATTATCTAAGATCCTTTTTTTGGTGAAGAAAAAATTTGCATTAATTCACAGAAAGATTTTGTTGGAAAATCAAAAAATTTCAATCTGAAAATAATTTTATTGGACCATCAAAATAATTTTGTTGGAAACTAAAAAAGATAAGCATTGCTATAAAACATTTTGATATTCTAGTATAATCAGTTTAACTTTTCAACAAAATTATTTTGATAGCCCATCAAGAATTATTTTCAGATTTGTATTCAGTAAAATTTTTAGACCTTCCAGCAAAATCGTTCTTTCCATTACTATATCTTATTACTATATCTCTGAAAAGAGATGTACGACAAGTATGTACGCATGTACGTCTCATTACTGGCAATGACATCGAATTTGTAGGATTAACAACAGAGGACCACCCAGAATATCGGACGTGCCGCCGTTGCTGTCGGACTTTGACACTCCCGGCATGAATCCACCGCCGCCGCCGCCGCCGTCGTTGTCGTCGTCTCATCCTTATCCGTTCGAAAAGCCCCCTGCACCTGACAGACCGTTGTTGCCACCGGAGAGACCCATTAGGCCCTTCATCAGCGGAGTGCCATTACCAGAGCAAGTCGTGCCGCCCTGGACTTGGGAGTCTTCTCATAGTACGTCGTACATCCGTAAATAATTACGTATCTAATTAATCATTTACTTTGCACGGATGCTTTAACATAACGGGGACGCGGATACATAAAACAAAATAATTTTCCGGGTAATTTTAATAAAATGAAAATTGTTTGATCATGATTGTAAAATAATCTTTATTTTATTAAAATCATCCGGAAAATTAATTCGTTCCCTTTTTTTTTTTTGAAGACGGGAACAGACGACCGGTACTGCCTTACAAACCCTCGCTACCGTCGCTGGATTCCTCCTTCCATCGCGACAAAAACCTTTCAACGACGGAGAACTCGCAGTATGATTTAAAACCGGAATCCGAAACGCCTCAGGAGAGCTCCACGATAAAGAAAGATGCCAGTCATCAAGAAACACTTATCAAAGACGACGATACTAAGAATCGCACGGGCAATTCTGGCGTCGCGAAGGATCAAGTCGAATCCGCGGTAGCGATTGATGATTCAGCTAACCAGAATGCAACGAAGAAACACGAATCCGAAGAGTCCACAAAGAAGCCTCTCAATACTGTGATTCACAAGTATCATACACCGTCAAAAGAAAATAAAATCAGCGGCGAGGAGACGTTGATCCTCGGTCTCGCCACAGATGCCACTCCGGCCCGCACGACGCGACATCCGGACGTGTCTTCGGTCGCGTCTTTGAACGGTCAGGTCAAGATTACGAAATCCTCGAAAAGCGAGGAGAAAGTTTCCGCGACGTCCAAGGGGGAAAAACCGATCGAGAAAACTACCTCGACCACCTCGAAGACCTTTTCGACCAGCACCTTGAACATCGAGACCAGTTCGTCGGTCCAAGTGATCGAATCCGTGCCGACGAAAGTCGTCCTTCGACCGACCGCGATCACCGTGAAATCAAGCGTCGACACCAAGTTTGACGTGAGTCTGGAGCCTAGCAGGGCATCAGATATCGAGTACGCGGAACCGACGTCCAGCGTCTCGACGCCGACCGACGGTCTCCCTGCGACTTACTCGAAGAATTCGGCCACGACGGAGAAGAACATTCATCCCACGACTTCGGTGCTCACGAAAAATACAGGCACGTAACAGATTACATCAGAGACGTATATATATATACACGTTATTACGAATACATATTGTTATACGTTGTTTTTATTTATAATAGTTATTTTTACACTATTATGCTTATACACGGAAAGAACGATTTTGAAAGATCTAAAAATTTTGCTAAAAACAGATCTGAAAATAATTTTTTGTTGAATCATCAAAATAATTTGTTGGAATGTTAAAACTGATAAGCATTGCTATAAAACGTTTGGATATTCTAACAATCACTTTGACTTTCGCACAAAATTATTTTGATTATTGAACAAAAATTATTTCCAGATCTGGATTCCGCAAAATTGTTCTTTCCGTGTCCCATATGCGCGTGATATGCCATATGACGCGTCATCCATAATTAATACAGATTATTTATTATAAATTAATAAATAATTTATGAAATAATTGTAATAGGATCCACTGAACGTTATCGCCCACGACCAGGAATTGTCCTGGACGATACTTTGGATTATACTGGAGCGCAAGGATTACCAAGTCAGAGGCCTTATGCACCTTCGAGACATCCATCTCACGGTGACGTTTTTGATGTAACAGTTTCGGCAATTCAGGGACCCGGAGGGAGTTCCGGTAATTTTCATGATGTCATTACCTAATAATCCACGATCTACAATTCGTCAGATTTCAGGATAAAATTCTATCATTTTATGTATCGCGCAATATGAGAAATATTTATAGAATGAAAAATATGTATAAAATATATCAAATGTACATAAAATACGTCATATGTATAAAATATAAAACACAATATATACATATATCAAAATTATACATACAAACGACATAAAATTATAAATAGAATCCTAAAATCTGACGCGAATTATGAATCGCTTAAAGTGGTCTTTATTAGCTTTTTTAATTATGTGTGCACATTTAGTTAATTCCATTTATCAATTTTCGCGCAATGGAAATTGGTATGTTAATCTCTTCTTTTAATAAATATGCACAGTTTAAATATAAATTTTCATAAATTAGAATTTCTTTAAGTGACTATTTTTAGATTTTAATAACTGATCGTTTCTGGCTTTAATTTAGGGGAGAGCGTTAGAGTGTCTCTAAACTCAGGCGGCGATGTCATATTAACTTCCGCGGTGGGCGGAGAAGGTTTCGTGAGTATTGACGGTAAAAGAACATATCTGAATCTGTTCGATAACACGGATCGAACGCCCGCACCCACCCATGTACAACCACAACCCACCAGGACGCAACCGCCGCCCATCATCGGCAGTGGGTATGTCTCGATTTCGCAGGCTGACAACTTTTTTTGAGAACATTGTCACTCAGCAATATATACATGTATAACAAACTTTTTCGGATGATTTAAATCTTCTTTTGCCAAGCAATTTTACACGATTTATTAACAATTTCATTTTCTATATGCTCGGAAAAAATTTCACGATAAGACGGATAACTTAGTCAAAGATAAAAATGTTACACGAAAAATTTCTATTTCTCTTACTCAGTCTCGCCATTCCACAACCGGATACTCCTGTTGCCACTTCCCGTCCGAATGGGTCAAATCGAAGGCAGCCACCGTTATATCGCAGACCGACGCAGCCAACAGTCAGAATAGACACTTGCATCGTCGGCGACACGAGTACGTGCGACGCAAGTCAACACGAGGCTTGTGCGACGGTTCAAGGCGTATCGGCTTGTCATTGCAAGCCAGGATACGCGAGACTGCAGCATTCGCTGCCGTGCAAAAGTTAGTAGATGATCGAAAATCGCGAGACGCATGTTACGATCCGCAGTTTGCATCCTATATGTTTCTTTTTTCAGAGATCGTCAGTATTGTCGTGTCAATTAGAGTTGACAAATTTTATGACAAGAAAGTCGTGTGGGATCGAGGACTAGCTGACAGGGACTCGGAATCTTATCAAACTCTTGCTTATGAGGCCAACAGAGCCGTAAGTATAAATTAAATTTATTTAATTAGAGCCGTAAGTATAAATTAAATTTATTTAATTAGATTAATTATATTATAATATTTAAATACTACTTGGAATTTAATTTTAATAATAAAATGTTTAATTAATAAAATATTTCGATAACAACTTTAACTTAATAAATTATAATATTTTAATTAAAGAATTAAACAGCTTATTGATTTTATGACATACAATACATTATAAACATTTTCATTTTATCTATACCTAATTAATAAAATAAAAAGTAAGATGTGTTAGAAAGAGCTTAATCGATTACTTATAATTATTTAATTAGAATATAATTTATTACGGGAAATTGTATAATACAGCTATCTTTTTGTATTTATTAAATATAAATTAAATTATCTGATTTATTTATTGCATGTACGATTTGTTTTGCAGGTCGAGTCTGCCATGTCTATGACACCATTCTCGGATGAATATATGGGATCATTGATAAATAACGTTTACCAAGGAGACGTAAGCCAAGGACAAGGCGGAGTATTCGTGAATGCGACCCTGAAACTCACTTACGAACCGAGAACGATTAGGCCAAGCTTAGCCGGTGAGCTTCAAAGGCATCTGCTAGGTGTTATTCATAGGAGAAATAACAACATCGGCAACAGTGCCCTGTACGTGGACAGTCCACCGGGATCCATATCGAATTTGCAAGGTAAGACTCGATCGTTAATTGTAATTAACTGGCCATAACTGATGCGATATTTTCAACTGCAAAATAGAATGCGACTATTCTGAAAAGTTACGAATTTGTAAATCTTTGGCTTTATAGATTTGGATGAATGCGCTTCGTCGGAGTTGAACGATTGCCATTCGTCCGCCAGTTGCATCAACACTTTCGGCGGTTTCACGTGTTCCTGCAATCAAGGACTAAAGGATCCTCATAAAAACGATCCTAATGATTCCGGCAGAACGTGCTTGTCGTGTCCCTCGACCTATTGTAACAATCGCGGCACTTGCGCCTATCAAGGAGATCAGATGCAATGCACGTAAGTATAAAAACGTGTATGATTGCATGAAGTTCCTGTCAAGTGCATTGAAAATTTCGTCTCTCAAATCTCCTCAGATGCACCGGCAATTATTACGGCACGCAATGCGAGGTCGACGGCGAGGTCTTGGGCGTCGCTATAGGCGCATCCGTGGCCGCGCTAATAATCATAGTTCTGACTCTAGTCTGTCTCGTCATGTGGAGGTAATCATCGTCGAAAGAACTTTCTTTTTGGTACAATTGAAGAACTTGTTGCAACAGTCAGCTAATCCACATTTTGTAAGAACGTTGAAAATAAACTCTAAAGTTAAAGTGATGAACTTTAAAGAATTTGTTTTCTCCATTGTTATAAAATGTGGATTAAGCCGACTGTTGCAACGGGCCCTTCAATTATCATCACGGCGTACGTTAATGTACGTGAATTCAACTGTTCGTATGTTTTGCAGCCGTAAATGGTCTCGCGAACAAAAGTCTGCGGGCTCTCCGGTGTACGGTTACATCCAAGGTGGAATACCTGGTACTCTCCCAGGTAAAATAAATTGGCAGTTAAATTTAAACTTGATCTTTCGCTGATGTGGATATATATCTAAAAAGTATAAATAATTTATAGGGACTTTAGCGAGGGTCGGTTCCGTGGGTACTCTGGCATCCGTAAAACAAGGACCGCCGACAAATTTGCCACCTTACATGTGGGCCCATTTTGGTGAACACATGGCTACAGCGAATCTCTATGCGGTACATATCAACTTTAAATGCTCAATAATAAATATCAGAAATGTGAAATTTTATTGGAGAAAATATCGCGTAATTGATGCTGAAATTAAGGACGCGAGAAAAAATAATAGCACGTGGATAACAAGAAATTTTAATGTGCCCATAAATAAATAGACGATATTAATTTCACTTCATAAAAAATATATGATTGTTATACATGGTGTTCCAAAACTCTTAATTAATATTTCAAGGCGTGAAAAAAAATGAAATTTTGAACTAAAAGTTTTTTTACCAGTTTTGGCCATTATTTACAGAATTATTAACGAATAAAGTTAATCAATTAGATTGCGTTTAGTACGAAGAAGCGTAGCATGCCGTGCGGCTCTTCGCGTTTACTTCTCTCGATTAAAATTTCATTCTAATTTTTAATATTAATAAATAAACAAATGAGTAAATCAATAAATAAGGTAAGTAAATAAATAAATAAATAAATAAATATACACACAAATAATTACGACGTGGGCAATCGCAACGTGGGCAATTGCAACGCGTGGTCAATCGCATGATAAATAAATAAGAATAAATTACGTTCGAAATTTATTTAATTTCTGATTGTTTTTATTATTATTTATTATTTACTTATTTCAATAAGGAAAAGTTTAACGGGCAAGAACTTATTAGAATTTTTATTTATTTATTAATATGAAAAATTAGAATAAAATTTTAATCGAAAGAAGTAAGCGCAAAGAGTTGCACGGCACGATACGCTCTTTCGTACTCCGGCTAACAATAAGTGCGATTGAATAACTTTATTCGTTAATAACTCTGTAAATAATGATCTCTCTCTCTCTCTCTCTCTCTCTAAGTCAAAATTGATAAAGAATCTATTAGTTCAAAATTTCATTTTCTTTCACGCCTTAAAATATTAATTAAGAGTTTTGGGATACCCTATATAAATATTAGCATTTAATTATTAATTCTCGAAATTGCAAACTTAATTTTTGCGCAATAAATTATGATTAAAATAATTAATTTTTCTTATTGAATTATTTTGTTTGAGTTTTGCTTGTTGACAATAAGAAACTTATTGCAATTATTTTTACTGCAAGACCGAACCCATGGGCCCTACGCGACCAAGCTCGGCGATGTTCGGTTATCCACCCATGAACGTTCACGGAACATTGCCTCCGGTCCCATTACCGCGACTTCAGGCCCCATCGCGGCCGAGACAGAGACCTCAGCCGGATCCGGATAGCTCGGATTCCGAGCCGCAAGATAAGGACAGAGCCGACCTAATTCCTCAGAGCAGTGGTTTTCACGTACCGAGGCCAAAGTCGAGATCTTCATTAGCGGTAAGCATCTATTAACTCATCCAGCATGCAATTATATATCCCGATAGAAAATGATAAATTAAAATAAGTTGTGCACGTTTGTGAAAAGAATTTATTTCCGTTATTAAAAATTATTTTCAAATTAAATATCTGATGTGGAGAATATCAGAATTTATTTTAAAATTTATCTCTCTGAAATAATTTAGTAATGTTTTATTAAATTTAATAATGTAATCGAATAGCGAGTGTATTGAATAAAAAAAACTTATGTCGACACATGACAGTTTAGAATAAAAATTTTATATTAAAATAAAATATATAAAAGATCTCTTTAATCCCTTCACGTTAATGGAAACCTGATAAGACATAAAGAGATAGAAATAAAAAGAAATTCAATAATTACAAGAAATATTCAATAATTACAAAGCCAATTCCCGAAAGAAATCCAATAATACCGCGAAGCAATTTTTAATCAATTCACTTTGAATCACCATATTTTTCCGCAAATGCCTTGTTCTGATCCTTTAACTGATTTTCTCTTTCCAATTTAAATTGTTCGATTTTGTCTTAATCCAATCTGTTTGTATTATCGTTTAATTACTATGAATTACGTAGAAACTAATTGACTGCTAGTTACGTATCGATGAGTCGGCTTATATTTCAGAATCAAAGTGGCATCTATAACGACGTGGAGTACGACCAGGGTGACATTCATCATTTATCGAAGAACAACATCCCGATGTCCACTTACAGGCCGTACTACAGAACGTGAAATTTACACTGCCGAGAGGGTGCAGGGAGTACATTCGCCCACGTGTCGAGGGACGGGCGCTAAATAACCCGTCGCGAATTTATCGTCTAAAGTGCTCAATAAATAGTGCATTAGAACACGGTGTGGTGCTACTGCTGGTGCGAAGTAATCCCACGGGTAAGAGCTGCGACTCGTTCCAGAGTCGTCTGAGCAAACGTATACCGAACATATACGGAAGATTTGCACAAGTGAAGTGGAAGTGAGCCTATTCGTGTCCGCGCGTATTAAAGCGGATTAGGATTGCTCGCTACAAAGTCGTGTTCTTGTAGTCAAGGGATATCGTATTTGCGATAGATCGATCAATTCTTAGTATAATACGCAGATATTTATTATTCCGTTTCGTTATTTGAGTTTTAGATTATTTTGTAAAATTCAAAAGTTCATTTATGATATTAGACGCAGTTTTATTAAGAGAGACACGTATGCGACGCGATTGCATATATATGTTTGATTATTTTTAACTAACTCGTTATCACTGTTAGCTCAATACTACGAAAATAATTTGTAAGAACAAATATATCGACTGTTTACGATTAGTTATAATTGTTAAGCAGAAACTAACTGTTGCGTTATAAATATTAAACAATTTAGTAGAGAAGAATTTAATTTTTATTATTTTAAGTCACTTTAAGAATTTAAGAGTATTAATATAATTACAATTAATTTATTAATATCTTTTTGAAAAAGGTATACCGAAATCTAAGGGCAGTAAATAATTATTTTCTTACGCATCATGAGATATTAGTACTTTAATTTGTATTAAGCATGCAATGTAATTATATATTGTAATTATATATTTTCTAGACTCAATACAAATGTCATTAAAATTTAATATAGTTTTTATTTTATGTCAATATCTAGAATAGTGTGCAGCAGAAAATTAACAGAACATATCTATATAAAACTATGAAATTAAGAAAAAACAATAAGTAATTTAACAAGAGCAATTAAAGCATAATTAAAGTTCAATTAGAGTATAATTAAAGCAAAAAGTTTACCACTTTCAAATTAATTATTTTAAAAATGTAAAAAATATAATTATTCAATTATTTATATAATATTCAATATTTTCGCAAAACTATATCACAGGTATATACACAGATGTCAGATTACGTGCAATGAAAAGTCGAATAAATAATGCAGCTTGAATAGAAACGTTATTTATTTTTTAGCGATGTATGAAAATTTAAATTTTTATTCGGCTGTTTCAGCAACGAGATCCGTGTCGCGCACATCAAGTGCCATCGATCCGCGTGACACATACGCGGTCGAGACAACATTGGCGGGAATAAAATATTTAATCGGGTGAACTCCCAACGAATGAACACTAGATACGTGCGTGCTGGTATAAGTAGGAGAGGTGAACAACCTCGATCGATTTCCACCGAGGAAGCTGTGAGGTTGACTGCTCAGTGTTTCAAGCGTTTTACTCGCTCTTTAGGTGCGCGACAGTCACAAGTTGCGACAGAGTTTTGCGGGACAAAAATTCCCGTGCTTTTGATGTATTGCAGCTACCATATCTTTTTATCACTTTAATTTCAAAGCAAGATCAATTTATACGCGCGATTCTCGCGCGCGTAAAATCACAGCTTTAATCTTAATTTGATATTTTCTGGTTAGTTTCACCGAAATCTCGCGGAAATGGCTAATTAAACCGCTTCTCTTTCTACCGGAACCGCGCACTCATTTGGTACTAATAAGCTGGATTTACGACCAATTAAAATCTCTTAATAAAAAAAAAAGGATTGTAATGGAAAGAACAGGGCGGAGAAACGGTATTTGCCGTATGTTCACACTCTGAGGACTCGTATGCGTCTTTTGTTGATATTTTTGTCCCGCATGTTTTTAAATGCTTAATGGCACAATTCTTCCAAAGTAGCCACAGTAGGGAAATCTCTCATGAATCACCGTCTCGCGGTACAATGCGCTTCACTTTCCCTATCTGCGTTTATTGCCCGATATTTTTCCGGACTTACGAGTTTGTCTCACATATTTCCACAGAATCATGGAGCATTCCAAGGAATATTGCATTACGTCATAAGAATTTATTACAGAAAGAAAACTGATCGTTCGCTATTAATTGTAATATTGTTGCGATTAACAGATACTCGCAGAACATAAAAAAAAAGATTATTCTCACATTTCATTAATATATAGTTTTATTTTAATGGCAATCGCATGCATATTTCCATAAAATTATGGAGCATTCCAAGGTTTGCATTATTCCTTGCATTACGTCATAAGAATTTATCACAGAAAGAAAAATGAACATTTTTTATTAATTATAATATTGCCATTAACAGATTCTCGCAAAACATTATAAAAATATTATTCTCACATTTCATAATAATATATACTTAGTTTATTTTAATGGCAATCACACATATAAACTCAACGTGAGATAAAAACAAAAGAACTAAATTAAGTACAAAGATAAAATCTGTATCTCACATTCACACTGAACAATCAAATTTAATCCCCTTGCCAAGATTAAATTAAAAAGTAAAAAAATGTCAGTTTAAAAACGATCGGCAAATATTTGTTCGTGTAAAAAAAGACTGAGCTTCCGAAAAATTCGAGATTCTTTGTAACAAATACACGTGTGTATACTGCGAGTAAAATGTATTCATTTGTAAAATATATTCGTTGTATTTCATTCCGAGCATTCGATATACGATATGGATAGCGATATATATATATATATATATATAT